CAGTTGCTGAGTATATCTATTCCAATTATGCATTCTGAAACTGGAGAAATCACTACAGAATGGGTTCTGGGACCCACTGGACCCACTATGAGATGAATTTGAGCCAAGACTGTATTAATAACCTGACTTCCATATGCCCCCCACTCTAACTGGTAGGTCACAGCGATGTTTTGGGTCTCCTGGAATTAGGATCAGTTCAAAGCCAGTGTCCAGTAATCCCCCAAAATTCTCATTATTTCCTTTTCCCAAGGAAGAGTCACTCTTATAAAAGGCCGTAGATCCCTTTGGAGAAGACTGGGTGAAAGATTAACAGTATGAATTTTTGGCAGTGTAGTGGAGTCCTTCCTCAAGGGGACCCAAATTCCCCTTCATTCAAGGGGTTGTGGATCTGTAAACTGGCTCAAGTTTGGGAATTGATTGAGCAGCGATTTGAGTTAACTACCGTTCACTTGACCTAGAATTCTTCCACTGGTACAGATCAAGTAAATATTTAGTAGATTTCCCATCTTTTTACTCCTAGGGACACCATGACTAAGTAGCCAACACCATATGTCCGTATGAGTCAGTCTTCTGATTACTACTTAGACTCTGCTGTCCATTATGGTAACCACACCCACCTTGTGTGAATTCTCCATTGAGTGGCCCTTACCACCTGAGTCCAATCAGCCCCACTGTAGTTAGGTGTCTTAACTCAGGGAAGTTCCCACTGTCAAATCTGTCTTACATAAAATAGCAATCACAGCAGTCTTCAAGGATGCTGGAGCTCCCTTCACAAGTTCATTCCTCACAGTTGTGGTAAAAGGCACATCCTCTGGGCACTCCATGTGTGGTTCTGTGGGTCTAACTGGATTGCACTCTAGCATGCCAATTTCCCTAAGCCTTTGGATACCTTCTTCTACGGTATACCAAGACAGATCTGGTACTTGAACTTGATTTAGTGTAGGCCACTATGTAATCCATGCCTCAGGGAATCAACCAAATAAACTATTAGATCTTTTCCTAGCCTCTCGAGCTGTAAAATTTGAATGAAGAATCTGTGCTTAGTGGGTCCATATCAATAAACTCGCACCATTATCCTACACTCTTAGTAGCCATTCTCACACATATTTCCCAGGTTTAATTTGTACATATTAGAGAAGTCAAGCAGTTCTTTTTGAAGGTGGAAATTCAGATGGTATTGTAATTCAGTCACTCTTAAGATAAGACTCTGGGTTTGATTTCCAGCAATATCAGCTCTGTTACTATAAGAAAAAAGGCTTTCTCTAAGGGCACAATTTGCAACTTTGAGGTCTTTTATATGGCTTTTTGCTGTGACTCTGAAGCCTTGAGTTCATTCCCTTCTTTCACCACTTTGTCTAGTGACAGTAAGATCAACCAACCAGCTTCCCTATACTTCTCATTCTGATAAAACTGTAGAAGAGTATCAAACGTGCAATCATCTTGAGTCTCGCTTCTCACCAATATTTGATATATTGGTGGTGATATTTTGCATATTAATATTGCCACCCCATGCCATGGATTAGCAGCACCCTCTTTACTACTGGAGGCACCATCAACAGCCCCTGGAAGAATAGTCAGACTTGAGAACCAGTTTAGAAAACTCACTCTTACAATTTTTTTTTTGTGTGTATATATATGTATATATATATATAAACAGATTTATCTCAAAGAAATGGCTCATGCAGTCGTAGAGGCTGGCAAGCCTCAAGTTCATGGGTCAGGCTTCGGGTTGGAGGCTTCTCCTGATTAACATAGCTGCAGGGTTGATGAATCAAGATCAGCAGGTCAAACAGCAGGCCGCTGGCTCACAGGTTGCATAGGCTGATGCATCCGAAGTCGGCAGGCAGTATGGGAGGCTGCTGGCTCAAGTCTCAAGAACTGGAAGTCAGATAATGATGAGCTGGATGCAGGATCCAGAACAAGTAAGCAAGCTTTGCCAGAATGTCCATATATATTGGGTGCAGGCCACACCCATGAGGAAACTCTCCTTATAGATGATTGGCTGATCACCTCGTGGAGGATGACTACATTATTACATAACTGCCAAACTACATCATTACATAACTGCCACACCACTGAGAATCATTGCCCAGCCAAGCTGACACAACCTTAACCATCAAATGCTCTATTACATTAGTATGCATATTCTTAGTTTGCTTCAGAACAATCTGTTCACCTGAATTCCTGGGCCAGCAACAGGATTTCAAAGCTAAATATCCTGTAACATAGGTAGGTAGGTAGACAGACAGATAGATAGAACTTTCTTTATTATACAAACTGAACACTAAATAACTCCAAAATAAAATTGTTTTTCAATAAATATTGCCCTAAAAAATGTTATTTACCTTATAATAATGCTTGAAAACAGTGAAGCATAAGATGATTGTTCTGTGTCTGTACAGATGTGTACATGAGCACATACAAAACTATGTGTTTGATTTATAGCTCACACTTGAATTTTTAGGACACCATAAGTAGTATTTTGGGTACATATTCATGGGTAGTGTATTCATATTTAATTAGTGAAACAAAACTAGCCTTTTGCTAGTGAGCACAAAACAAAAGGAATAAACGGGAAAGAGTTAACTCAAGAAAACTGGCAGAGCTGGGTAACGAGAGAGTACAACAGTGAGAAAAATATTCCATTTTCATGATAGAAAAAGAATCTACGAATAAATGCTATATTAAAATTGGTTTGTCATTTGAGGATGCTTTTTTCCCCTCACTTCTTAATCCTCATAAACTTCTGTTTCATAGTCTCATATCAGGTCATCAAGGTTTCTTTTTTTGTTCTTTTAGGTCACAAAGTTTTTGTTTTCTTTTTTTTTTTTAAACCTTCCTCAAAACGAAAATCAGACAATGACTTTTTTTTTTTTTTTTTGCTGTCTCTTCAGCTTATTTTTTAAAGAATGACTTTCTGAAACCTGAATTTCCTGGCTCTAGGTAAAGGCCATCTACAGCAGAAGGTTAATCCATTTTAAATTCATCTTTACAAGCTGAACAATTATAGTAATTACCAAACAAGTCTCTCTCTCTCTCTCTCTTTAAATGTCAGACTTGTCATACATTATTTTCCATCCCCTTTTTTCATGTAAATATATCTTAGGTATTTTCCTAAAATGTAGGAGATAATTTGTGTTTCTCTGGCTATGAATCATAGAATTGCACACCTTGAATGGCTTCAAAAGAGAAAGCATGTACCTCCTTAAGAATTCTTTTATACTTTAATTCTTTTAAGCCATTCTTCATGAAAGTAAAGCACGGGGAGGCTCAGAGTACGCTTATGAAAACGTCTAGGTAATGTTCCTCTTCAAAATAATCTATAGAGAAGTAGCTCTATTTTGTTACAGGCTGAAGTAAGTCATCAACGCTTGTCCCTAGGGTTTTAAGACTTTGAAGTAATGTAAATTTTTTGAACATGAGATTTTAACACACACAACTATGAAGTATTTTATCTTTTTAACTGAGATGCAGAACAAAGTTTTAATTACTATTATAGCTAATGTAAAATTGTACTGAGAATCTATTATATGTGATCTAGGTGACTAGCCTAGATTTGAATAATAACAACTTAAACAGTTTTCAATATATTGCAATCACTGGCAGTGGTGGTTCAGTGACAGAACTCTTCTCTCCATGTAGGAGACCCAGGTTTAATTCCCAGTCAGTATAAGGCAATTAGGATAGATTTCTGCTTTTTTTTTTCATTCATGTAATTGAAAATCTCCAATTTTCTTCCTCAGTTGGAATCTGTTAGGTTTCTCTGTCCTAGTTACAAAGCATGTGAAGAATTTGCTCAGATAGAGGTGAACTAAGTCAAGAACACTGTATCTACTGAGAAACGTAAACTTCCCAAACAGCAGACCCACGTTTCAAAATAGGAGACAACAGATCAGTCTCCAGATTTCTAGTTAAGTCCAAAGGTTGAACAAAAGCCCTTAAAATACATTCTCAGGATCTATAATATTTCATTCCCTTAGCAGCTGATGTCACGAAGTATTTTGTTTTGGATGATCAAGCAAAGGGCGCTAGGTCTTTGGCCCAATAAACTATAATAACTAAGATGAGCTGTTTCAGATGTATATCTGCCATTTAAAGATGACCACATGTTTATCAGCTCAGTTTTAACGTGTAAGAAATACAGGTGTTTTCCAATAGCTCTTTCTCTTTTGTGCCCCTCCCTCACCCTGAATAAATGTACTTGACCTTATTTTCTCAACCCTTCTCAATCCACCTGTAAAGCTATTGCTTGATGGAACTGAAAAATACACTTAGGAGTCTACCTAGATCATTACCCTAAGCCTTGAAGGAGGATGTTAAAAGTAAATTTCATTTTGAACATGGCGATCACACGTCTTCCATTTAAATTTAGAAAGAAACACATATTCTATTCTGGCAACTAGCTTTCTGCTTTTACATCGTTTTCTATTTTCCCAAATGGAAGCCGCTCTTGTCTTTAGCTGATCCTACTGCACAGTGCTTTCTCTTCATCTTTTCCGTCCTTAAACACTGCTGTACTCTCGGCGTACGGATATCACTGCTGTGATCTTCAGTGTATACGACAGGCATTTTTCTGTACTCTGAAGCTGATAACCTTTCACTCATGAGGGGTGGACTATTTGTGATACTCAACAACAGCAACACAGACAAACACCAAAAATCCCCAGACTTGGGTACGATGATGGAACGCAAACATAAAAAAGACAACCGTTAAAGAAAGACAAGTGAGAAACCCAGTAAAACAGACCTCATGCTCTCAGTGAGGCTTCCATGAACGTGTCTCCGTAACACCTGCTCGGTTTGCTATTTTAAAAAAGAACAGAAAGCTGTCCTGCTCTGATAGAACCTATTCGGATACTGTGGAAATTTAAAAAAGCATTTCTCCAGTGAGCTGAGACTTCCAGAGAAGCCAAGAACAAATTGTAGCATGCATCCAGGCAAAGAAAAGATACCAGTACCTTCCTGTATGAAAGGCAGTTAGCATACGGCTGTCCACTTACCTGGATCGAATCTCTGTGTGTGATGGAGGCTCAGCAACGGAGTGGCTGGGGGAGGCTGGCTGCTTAGGCGAGGAGAGGGGTCCTCTGTGCGTTTGCTTGGGAGACCTTGGCACTTCACTGAAAGAGGACTCTCGTCGCCCAGGGAAGGAGAAGGATGAGGAACTCTCAACCGCTGGGGGCAGGTCATGGGCCTGCCCGGTGGCACTTAACTCTTGAACTCGTCTTTGGTTTTCCACGTTCAGGAGCACCTCCTTGTCGGAAACGCTCTCACTGGCAGGGAAAGCATAGTCCTTGGATTCAGCCGTGCAGGTCCGGAGCCCCACAGTCTCAGTCCTGGAGTATACAGAACTCAAATCTTTACTCAGATCTTCCTGTTTGTCACTTTTCCCTCCCCTTTTCTCACCGGCATCAGGATCCTTCCTGGACTTGGTATATCGAGGTGAGTATTCGGAGTCGGCTTCGGAATCCAGAGTCAGCCCGTATTTCTCTGCAAGCTGCCGTCTCCTTTCCGCTTTGTACCTTGCTATTCTTTCAGCTTTGGACTCAAGACTCTGGGTGTCCATGGTGCCTGAACCATACGAGGCGTCACCATGGACACCGGGGGGTTCCGTACACTGTTTCCATCGCGCTTGCTTTTCTAGAGAAGAATCAGAAGTTTCTTCGTCTTCATTTGATCGGCCTGCAAGAAGATCACATGAATAATAAGTACAGACTTCAAACAAAGAAGCACATTTACCACACACTATACTGCACGCGGAGCCCCAGTGGCGCAGCATTAAGAGCTCAGCTGCTAACCAAAAGGTCAGCAGTTCAAATCCACCAGCCGCTCCTTGGAAACCTTATGGGGCACTTCTAATCGGTCGGAATTGACTCAACAGCAAGGGGCTTTTAAGCTATACAGCACAGAGCACAAACTTGCGCTTCCATGCTGTGAAGGACCAATTTCGCATGCCAACGTGTTTAACTAAAATGATTACAGGAGGTGCTGGGGACGTCGGACATCTGCCAAACACCTGAAGGCTGACAATATTCCGCAGGCTCTGAGAGCCGTAAAGCTCAGCCTTTGTTCACGAGGGCGCCTCAAGTCCTTGCCTCTTTCCCTTTATTTATTTACCTTTCTTGGGGGGGGGGTGGGGAGGTTTGTTTTTAAGTTTAATATTTCACATATGAGGGCAGAGGACGAGTTCAGAGTCCTCTAGAAAAGATAACAGATATTCAAACTGCTGTCATTTGACAAGCGATGATTGTTGTTGCATGAGATTTGATAGTAACCCTAACAACATGGCCCATGTCAATATTCACCAGGCTTTTTACAGAAGAGGCTTTTTCCAATTACAGCACACATGCCTGACTGAGAAAATGTCTAACACACCAAACTTATAAATAAGGGTAAAAACCCAAATTGCCATTAAGCACACGATACCCTAATAATTTGCCAAACATTTTTATGTTCCTTCTAATCTTTTATAGGATTTCTTTTTTCTATATAAAGTATTTAATGCTCTGTATAATGTTAATGTTCTGTATAAAGTTTCCTGAATTTGGAAATCTTTATTTTGAAGACATCATTTTTAAGGTTTCATAATATTCTGTCCAACAGATATGCCATCCTTAATTTAACCCTTCCTCGACTGCTGGCATTTACATTGTTTCCAAGTTTTAATTAGTCTGATTTTCTGATTAATGTCACAACAGACAGACTTATAAAACTAGAATCCTAGTTTTACACCCTTTATCAAAGGGTAGATCAATTTAAGATACTTGCTAGACTGTCGAATGAATTTCTAAAAAGTCTGTATTAATTTACACTTGTACTTGCAGTATATGCTCCCTCACAAACTCACAAACAGTATTAATGACAACATACGTGCCTTTGATTATTAGAAAGACAGATACATACATTTTTTACGTTTGTTTATTAGCCATTTGTATTATCTTTTCTGCTCCCTGGAACATCTGATCAAGTTTATTGTCCCATATTTTGTTGACTCATAGTATTATTTTTATTGGTTTGTGTAAACTCCTTTATAAGAATATTAACCCTTCGTCTTATTCATGAATATTTTCAAACTTGTTGGCTCTTTAATTTCGTTGAGAAGTCCGTATGTTTATATAAAATCTCCTTTGAGGTACAGATTATGAGGTGGTCAAGTCAATTGATCTGGTCACTTGTGATTTCTTCCACTGCTCTGTGCTTTGGAAACCTTTTTCTATCCAAACCTGAATTAAATATTCACCTATGTTTTCATGTTTTTAATTATTTTCTTAAAATTAGTTAAGTGATTAATTGAAACTTATTTTTATCTTTTGTATGAAGTGAGACTAGAAATGTGTCCCTTCCCCGATCCTATTGCTAATCGATTTTCCCAATACCATGTTATTAAATAACTCTTCCTTGTCTCACTAATATCTGATACTTAAATTATATATTACATACATTAACGTTTTATGCACGCTATAATTCATTTCTGGGCTCTAAATGTTGATACTCTGATCTGTCTTTTCTTGATTCTTCATATATGCAATTAAAAAAAAAACTTATCTAGTCTTCTGGCCATAGAAGATTAGAAATCGAGGAGACAAGCAAATTGATAATATCATGAAAGGAGAGGAACCATCTTCTCTAAGGAAGAAACTAGAAAGTACTGGCTGTAAAATCACTGTACAGCGCCTCCCAGTCAGGGAATAAGGGTGGGAGAAACAGCCCTGTTACGTGTCATCCACTCCAGGGCTCAACACTGAATATTTGATGTCCATGATAATGACGTTTAGTCATCAAGGAAAAGCTAAATCATGTTTGACAAGCTGTTTAACACAAAAATAAATATGAGGTACATTTAAAATTAAAAAACAAAACAAAACAAAACCAACAAAAACCAAACCCGCTGCTGTCGAGTTGATTCCAACTCATAGCAGTCCTATAGGACGGAGTAGAACTTCCTCATATGGTTTCCAAGGAGCAGCTGTTGGATTCAAACTGCTGACCTTTTGGTTAGCTGCCAAGCTCTTAACCACTGTGCCACCAGGGCTCCCATTTAAAATTACATACATCAAAATAATTAAAATAGAATGTTGCATAAATATAGTAGGAATCTTAATCATTAAAGGCCCAGCTTTGCCCATAAGCTCCCTGCTGAGAGCAGCCTCACTCTGCAGGGAGCAATGGGGCATAGCAGTTAAACATATGATGAGAATTTAGAGGAGCACGTTCCATTTATTCTTTTACCAAACAAACATTTACTGAGAGTCTCTGATGGTACATCCTGTGCAGGGCCCTGAGGGTGTGGAGAGAGAGACAGTTTCTGTCCTTGAGGAAGCTCAGGTTAGGGAGAAAAGACTAGTGTCTTAGGATGGGTTCCCTAGAAGAGCAAAACCAGTGAAGTGTATATATATAAATACAGACAGAGAGATTTATCTCGAGGCAATAGCTCACACAGTTGTGAAGACTGGCAAGTCCCAAATCTGTGGGTCAGGCGTCAGGCTGGAGGCTTCTCCTGACTCATGTGGTTGCAGGGGCTGATGAACCCAAAATTGGCAGGTCAGGTTTAAGTCTGCTGGCTCACAGCATCACAGGAGCTGGCAAATCCCCAGATCTGGATGTCAGAGGATGAGGAGTCGGATGCAGTATCCGGAGTATCCTTTCCCAGAGCATCTAGATATATTGGATGCAGGTCACACCCCCAAGGAAACTGATTGGCTTTCACTTGATTGACCTTTCAACTTATTGGCTACTCACATCAGATCACAAAATGGAGGATAATTACATAATATCTGCCAAACCACTGAGAATCATGGCCTAGCCAAGTTGACACATAACCTTAACCATCGCTGTCCACCTTTTGTCAACTTGGCACCTGTACACAACTCCTTAAACTAAACATAATCTCTAAATAAAGACAATTATAAAGTCATCCTTGTGCCTAACATGATACAACTAATATGCTTACAACTGAAAACGCACTAGCCCCATTTACATCTTATATTTTATAGTATGTAATGGTATAACACATATGCGTATAATAAAATAAGGAAGAAATACTAAAAACAACTACAGTCTTCATTTCTGCAAATGGTCACATGGTCACAGCTAGTATTTAGAACTACCTTCTTTCACCACCAGTTCTGTACTTCCTTTGCCTTCAGCAAGCACCTCAGGGGGTTATGTTCCTTTGCCTGGTGGGGTGACCCAAACCTTTATTCCTGAAGGGTCTGGGACATTAGTAGCCCTGTTGGAACTGGGTTGCTGTAGTTTTCCATCGACTTTAATCACAAGGCACGGTAGCACTAAGCGATGTCTTAAGGAATCTCCTGTATTCCAAATGTACTCTTCTTTATCTCCATCATGGAATAGCAATCTTATTTCCCCTTGGTAATCAGCATCAATCACACCAGTCAATACAATAACTCCTTTCTTTGACTGTTGATCCAGAAGCATGAGGAGCCCAAAGCGAACGGGTGGCATTCTTAACTTCCAGTTCAATAGAATCAGTGATGTGTCTCCTAGTGGAAGAGTTCCTCCCTTTGGAACTAAGATGTCTAGACCCACAGAGCATAGGGTCGAGGGAACAGGAAGCAAAAATTTTGCAAATGGGCCGGTAGGGGTAATAGTGAGTGGTGCCACTCCCATTTACACACCTTGATTCCTGGACCCGTGAATCCTGGCTATGGGAGAAACAGTACTATATACCGGACGCTGGTTTAGAGCATATACAGCCTCCTTGAGAACACTGCCACAACCCTGCAAAGAAATGCCACCTCCCTGGTATTGTAATTGTGTCTTTAGAAGGCCATTCCATCTCTCTATCAAGCCAGCTGCTTCAGGATGATGGGGAACATGGTAAGACCAGTGAATTCCATGAGTGTGGGCCCATTGCTGCACTTCATTTGCTGTGAAGTGAGTCCCTTGATCTGAGGCAATGCTGTGTGGGATACCATGATGGTCAATAAGGCATTCTGTGAGTCCATGGATGGTAGTTTTGGCAGAAGCATTGTGTGCAGGAAATGCAAATCCATATCCAGAGTGTCTATCCCAGAAAAAAAACACTGCCCTTTCCATGATGGAAGCAATCCAATGTAATCAACCTGCAACCAGGTTGCTGGCTGATCTCACTGAGGAATGGTGCCATACTGGGAACTCATTGTTGGTCTCTGCTGCTGGCAGACTGGGCACTGAGCAGTAGCTGTAGCCAAGTCGGCCTTGGTGAGTGGAACTCCATGTTGTTGAGCCCATGCATAACCTCCATCCATGCCACCACGGCCGCTTTGTTCATGAGCCCCTCAGGCAATGACAGGAGTAGTTGGGGAAAGAGGATGACTGGTATCCACAGAACGCATTATCCTATCCACTTGATTGTTAAAATCCTCCTCTGCTGAAGTCACCCTTTGGTAGGCATTCACATGAGATGTAAGAATCTTCACTTCTTTGGCCCATTCAGATAGGTCTATCCACATACCTCCTTGTCACCAACTTTCCAATCAAGTTTCTTCCATTCGGAGGATTTCTCTTCACCACTGTCCTTCAGGAAGGTCCCAGAAAGGGGCTGCAGTGCTGCCTCTGTCCACTTTTGAGTGGTCTCTGCGTATCACGCAGAACCATCTGTAAACCAGGAACAAGTCTTCTGCTCCTCAGTCAATTGGCAATAAAAGACGCCCCATGAGGCCCTAGGTGCAGATGGTGAGAGGGCAAGTAACGTGATAGGAGTGGAGACCATGGACATTTAGGCTACTTCCTCATGCAACTTACTTGTGCCTTCAGGTCCTGCTCGAGCCCAATCTCATGCATAGCACTTCCATTTAATGATGGAGTGCTGCAGTGCACATCTGACTTTATGACTCTTTAGGTCAGACAACACCCAGTTCATGATAGGCAGCTCAGGCCACATGGTGACTTGGTAGTCCATGATTAAACATTCAGTCTCTACTAAGACCCCGTAACAAGCCAAAAGCTACACCTCAAAAGAAGAACAGTTATCTGCAGAGGATGGTATGGCTTTGCTCCAAAATTCTAAGGGTCTGTGCTGTGATTCACCAATAGCGGCCTGCCAAAGACTCCACTGACACTTCAAGCACCACTGGCTCAGCTGGATCATATGGCCCAAGTGGCAGAGTGGCTTGCATGGCAAGCTGAACCTGCTGCAGGGCCTTCTCTTGTTGCGGGCCCTACAAAAACTAGCAGCTTTTTGAATCACGTGACAAATAGACTGGAGTAGCACACCCAAATGATCAAAATCCAAAGAGGCCCACTAGGCATTATGTCTCCTTTTTGTTGAAGAAAGGTCCAAACTCAACAACTTATGCTTTACTTTAGAAGAAATATCTTGACATGCCCCATACCACTCGACCCCCAGAAATTTCACTGAAGTGGAAGGCATCTGAATTTTTGTTGGCTTAATTTCCCACCTCTAGCACACAAATGTCTTAATAAGTCCAGAGTAATTGATACTTCTTCCTTACTAAGTCCAATCATCAAAACATGATCAATGTAATGGACCAGTGTGATCTCTGGTGGAGGAAAAGGGAATCAAGGTCCCTGCAGACTAAATTATGACATATGTATGGAGAGTTGAAATATCACTGGAGTAGGACAGTGAAGGTGTATTGTTGGCCTTGCTAGTGGAGGGCAAACTACTGGTGATCCTTTCCAACCAGAATCTAGAAAAAGGCATGCGCCAGATCAATAGCTGCATATCAGGTACCAGAGAGGTATTAATTTGCTCAAGCAATGAAACCACATCTGGAACAGCACCTGCAATTGGAGTCATCACCTGGTTAAGTTTTCCATAATCCACTGTCATTATCCAAGATCCATCTGTTTTTTGTAGAGGCCAAATAGACGAGTTGAATGGGGACGTGGTGGGAATCATCACCCTTGCATCCGTCAAGTCCTTGATGGCGGCAGTAATCTCTGCAATCCCTCCAGGAACGTGGTATATCTTTTGGCTTACTATTTCCACGTTGGGGCAGTTCTAATGGCTTCCGCTTGACCTTTTCTACATAATATCCCTTACTCCACATGTCAGGGATCCAATGTGGGGATTCTGCCAGTTGCTGAATTTAATTATGTATTCTGGAACTGAGTAAATCACTATAGGATGGATTCAGGGACCAACTGGACCCACTGTGAGATGGACCTGAGGTAAGGCTCCAATTATAATCTGACCTCCATATGCCCCTATTCTGACTGGTGGGTCACAGTGATGTTTTGGGTCTCCTAGAATTAGGAGTTCACAGCCACTGTCCAGTCATCCCTGAAAAGTCTGATTATTTCCTTTTCCCCAAGGAACAGTCACTCTTGTAAAAGGCCATAGATTCCTTTGGGGAAGGCTGGGAGAAAGATTAACAGTATAAATTTTTGGCAGTGTAGTGGGGTTTTTCCTAAAAGGGACCTAGCCTCCACTTCGTTCAAGGGATTATGGGTGTGTAAACTGGCTCAAGCTGGCAACCGATTGAGGGGCCATGACTCTCTAATCTGGCAATATGAGTTAGATTGCCATTCACTTGACCTAGAATTCTTCCAGTTGTATGGGTCAAGTAAATATTTAGTAGATTTCCCATCTATTTCACTCCCAGAGACACCACAACTAAGTAGCCAACATCATAAGACCATACAAGTCAGAGTATTCTGATTAATGTTTTGACTCTGCTGTCCATTACAGTATCCATGCCCACCTTGTCTTGGGTGATTAAGTGCCGCCATTTGGCCCCTGCTATCACAGGGTCCAATCAACCCCATTGTGGTTAGATGTCTTAATTCAGTTAGGGCAGTTCTTGCTGTCAAATCTGATTTACATAAAGTAGGAATCACAGCAGTCTTCACGGATGCTCAGGCTTCCTTCACAAATTTGTTCCACACTGTTGTGATGAAAGATGTGTCCTCTGGGCACTCCATGTGTGGGTCTGCGCGTCCAACCTGATAAATCCCCTCCAGCATGCCAATCTTTCTAAGCCTTTGGATACTTTCTTCTAACATATACCAAGGCAGGTCTGGCATTTCAACTTGATTTAGTGTAGGCCATGGCTTAATCCATGCTTCAGTGAACCAACCAAATAATCTATTAGATCCTTTCCTAACCTCTCAAGGTGAAACACTGAAGGAAGAAATCTGTGCTTAGTGGGCCCAGATCAATAAACTCAGACTGATTCAACTTTATGTTCCTTGCACCATTATCCCGCACCCTTAATAGTCATTCCTACATATATTCTCCAGGTTTCTGCTTGTATATATTAGAAAAATCAAGCAGTTCTTTTGGAGTGTATGTCCTCATGGGTCACACCTTTTACTTCACCTCTTGGGGCTCACTGACACTTAAGTCTAGTTATAGGTCTAGAAGCAAAAGTGTGTGGTGGGGTGGGTCCTGGGGACATTCAGCAATGTCTTGTAAGGCATCTGCCTCATGCAATGTCTCAGGCAATGCCCCAGATGATATCTCAGACAAAGGTTCTTAAGACATAGCTGGGTTAATCTCATCAGATGGGGTATAAGGGATAACGGTTTTACTTGAGAGGGTGGCTTAGCAGACAAAGATGGAGTAATCTCTTCAGATAGGAGTAAGAAGGCTGGTTCTGTTGGCAGGAGTGATTCAACAGAATTTAGGGGCGCAGTGTCCTCGGCTTTCTGATTATCTGTCCAGATGTCCCCACTGCAAGTTTCAGGATCCCATTTCTTCCCAGTCCATGCCCTCACTTTCACTTCAGACACCTTTCGAGGTAGGCAATCCAACTGCTGTTGTAATTCTGACTCTCTTTTGATAAGACTCTGAGTTTGGTTTTAGGCAATATCAGTTCTGTTACTACAAGAAATGTGGCTTTCTTTCAGAGTCCAAATGGCAACATTCAGATCTTTTATGCAATGTCTGAGCTGTGACTTTGAAGCACTGGGCTTATCTCTTTTACCACTTTGTCTAGCAAAAGCATGACCAACCAACCAGCTTCCTTATACTTATTCTGACAGAATTGCAGGGAAGTTTCAAATATGCAATCACCCAGAGCCTTGTCTCTCACAAATAGCTGATCCACTGGTGATGATATTTTGCATATCTCTATCCACACCACACCATGCATTGGCAGTGCCCTCTGTACTACCGGAGGCTGAGTCATCAGCACCTTTAAGGCTAGCCAGACTTGAGAACCAGTTCAGAAAACTCATCCTCACGATTTTGTTTCTTTAGAATCCCACTCCCAGTACCAAATGTCTTAGGCTGTGTTCTCTAGAGGAGCAAAACCAGTGAAGCATATTTTGTATATATATATGCATAGAGAGAGAGAGAGAGAGGGAGAGAGAGAGAAGTATCTCAAGGAAATGGCTCATACAGTTGTAGAGGCTGGCAAGTTCCAAATCTGTGGGCGAGCATCAAGTTGGATAGAAGCTTCTCCTGATTCACATGTCGTAGGGGCTGATGAACCCAAAATCAGCAGTTCAGGTTGAAGGCTGCTGGGTCATCGGGTTACAGGAGGTGGTGAATCCTAAGATCTGCAGCTCAGGCAGAAGGCTGCTGGCTCATGCACCAATAACCAGAGGTCAGAAAATGATGAGTCGGAAGCAGGAGCCAGAGACAGTTTTCTCAGCACATCCATATATATTGGATGTAGGCTACAACCCCAAGGAAACGGATTGGCGTTCAACTGATTGGCCTTTCTACTGATTGGCTGCTCACATCAGATCACAAAATGAAGATGATTACATAATATCTGCCAAACTACTGAGAATCATGGCCTAGCCAAGTTGACATGTAACCTTTACCATCACAACTAGTCATTAATTTCCCAACAACAGGGGAATCATTTTTACTGCTTTGATACCAGGTGGTCATATCAGTGAGGCAGGGCAGGGCTGACATGGGTTTTGCTGTTGTTTTTGCAAATACACCTACTTTTCACTTGTCGACTATCTCATTTCCAACATTTTGCATTTACAACAATGAGGTGGTGGGCATGGTGGCCACAGCTGTGAAGCGTCTCTTCCCTCGGTGGGGCTGGGTGCATGGCCAGGCTCCCAGCGCCCTCACAGGAAGCCCTGAGCCTGTGTGACTCCCAGGCCCGGAGGGCAGAGCAGGCTCCCAGTGCCCTCAGGAAGCCCTGAGCCTGTGTGACTCCCAGGCCTGGAGGGCAGAGCAGGCTCTGGGATATAAATGCAGGGCTTGCGGGGGTGGGAGTGGAGCCTGGAGGCAGCTCTGTGAGGGAAGCTCTGACCCAGCACAGGAGAAGGGGAGGTGGTTAAGCCGTGGGCCCTCCAGTCACGCAGCCCGGCTGTATCAGCTTTGTCTCCTCCGGGCCACCTTCTCCACAGAGGAATAATCCATAACTGGACTCATCACACTGATGAGCACGTCAGTAAATCTTAGCTGTTATTATTTCTATGATCATATTTTCTAAATAAAAAAAAAAAAATCAGACAAATGGATGGCTGAAAACAGAAAAAGAAAATCCTCCATGTTTGCATAATGACCTGGTCATTGGAATCTAACCATGTCAATAAGTGAGGAGTGGGTGCATATGCATTTAATTAAACTATATCTAGACAATTCACTTCTATGGACTCTCTCATTATACTTATACATTAGGTTTATATGTCACCCAAGCAGCCTGCGTGATGGGCTGCCGGGCACACGCTCACCAATGTGGGGGCTGGCAGGGTCTGTGGCGCGCGTGTATCTGGGCGTGTCTTCCTCCAGCAGGCGATGAGTCACTAACCCTGTGCAGCTCTGCAGGAGGATGGGCTGGGTGTCATTTTCAATCCCTTCCAAGCGCCTGGCAATCCTTTCTTTTCTGTGCAAAACACCAAAAGGGCAGAGTGAGCAAAAGACATCAATTCTATGGGAAAACTGGATACAGTTTTGCTAAACTCTTCTATTTCCTAATTATACACCATAAATATCTTACCTTTTCATTTCTAAAAGTTCTTTCCTCTTTGGTTCAAAGATTTTTCTTAATTCTGCAACTGAAAACAAAAAGAAAGTCCAGTATTTAAGAGTCACGCATTCATTTTATTCACTTACTCAACATACATGTATCGAACTCATATTTCTGCTCTCTGCTCCCGTGCAACAGGGATGTACAACGCTAAGTTCCTGTCTTCCTGGAGATTGCCTTCTAGTGAGGGAAGGCAGTTGCCTAGTGAGTAAGTGTGTGCACCTGTGTGCGTGCACACACAAACCCACACGCTCAAGCATAATCACAGGTAGTTACATGGCTAAAATGAGAAATAATGCAGGCTAAGGGACAGAGTCCTTCGAAAATCCAAAAACCGCATCAGTTGCTGTTGATTCTGACTCACGGTGACCCACGTGCATCAGAGTAGAACCGTGCTCCATAGGGTTTTCAATGGCTGACCTTTCAGAAGTAGCTCACCAGGCCTTTCTTCCGAGGTGCCTCTGGGCGGGCTCAAACCTCCAGGCTTTCGGTCAGCAGTTCAGCATGTGAACTGTCTGCGCCGCCCGGGAACTCCTGGATGAGAGACGACGGCTCTTTTTCATCCAGGGGATTCAGGGAAAGCCTCTCTAGTAATACATTTTGTTTAGCAGGAAGCCCAATATGTGTTCTTATTTATTTTTTAGGTTTAACAAAGTGTTTCAAGCTTTCATTAAGGAAAACTTCAAACATTTACAAAAGTAGAGACAAGTGCTCCGAACCGCCCCCAGGCCAACAGCAACGCGCGATCGTGAACTCACAGCCACTCCTGGTTCGTCGCAGCATGTGATCTGCAATACCTGATCGTGTTTTCCTCAGTCCCTAACGTGGTGTACTTCAGTTAACGACAGTTTACATGAACACAGTTCCCAAGCCTCCCCTTACAGTATTTCACTAGGAGGAAATGCTAACATTTGTTTCCTGACTAATTGGAGTGGATGATGGATAAAGCAATTATCCTAACTCTCCAGGCAACACTGCTGACCAGAACAAATGTTTCTGCGGAGGTCTGGAGGTTCTCATTTGATACTGACAACCAGGATATTACCGAGCTGCCACCGACTGCTTCTCGGGAGAAATGGCCAAATTTGGTGGTGGTGAAGGTCTCTCTTCTTGCCTCCTCCTCTATCTTGTAAATTCCTCAGGGCGCATCTGAGTGGCTTCTACTGAGCACCCGGGAAGGGCTGGAGAACGAGAGGAGCCTCTAAGGAGCGGCATGGAGGCTAAGTCGAAGAAGAAACTCAAACGAGGGGGAGAATACCGGGGATTTCAACTGCTCCGATTTCCGTTTTATTATTGTTTTTTTAACTGGTATTTTTAGTAATGAGTCCAACTCCCCATACTCACACATACGACTGTATTCCTCTTTGGTTGGGTTTAGAGATACAAGTCTTGTTTTTATTTATTTATTTTTAAATGATTGTTGTTGTTGGGTGCCAGTGAGTCCATTACAACTCATAATGACCCTACAGGACAGAGCAGAACTGCCCCATAGGGCTTCCTAGGCTGTAAATCTTTCCGGAAGCAGATTGCCAGGTCACGGGAGAAAGATGTGACAGTCTGCTTCGGTAAAGATTTACAGTCTGGGAAACCCTATGGGGCAGTTCTACTCTGTCCTACAGGGTCACTATGAGTCAGAATCGACTCAACAGCAATGGGTTTGGATTTTAAATGATACCAAAAACCCACTGCTGACGAGCTGATTCTGACTCGTAGCAACTCTACAGGGCAGAGCAGAATTGCTCCATAGTGGTTCCCAGGGCTATAAATCTTTACGGAAAGAGACTGCCACACCCTTCTCCCGCAGAGTGACTGGGGGGTTTGAACAGCCAACCGTCTCAGTTAGCAGCCAAGCAGTTAACCATTGCACCACCAGGGCTCCTTTTTAAATGACAGTCACCTTAAATTTTTAGTTGAACTGTTTGTTGAAACCAGTTGCCATTGGGTCAATTCCGACTCACGGCGAGCCCATGTGGGTCAGAGTAGAACGGTGCTCCATAGGGTTTTCAAGCGTTGATTTTTTTGGAAGTTGATCACCAGGCCTTTTTTCTGAGGCACCTCTGTGTGGACTTGAACCTCCAACCTTTTGAATATCAGCCTGTGTTAACCTTGTGTACAACCCCGGGATTCCTTTGTTAAGGTAAGCCCTGACCCTTTGCCATCGAGTTGATTCTGATTCATAGCGACCCTACAGCACAGACGAGAACTGCCCTCCGGGGTTTCCAAGGAGTAGCTGGTAGATTCAAACTGCTGACCTTTTGGTTAGCAGCCGAGCTCGTAACCACTGCGCCACCAGGGCTCCTGTGTTAAGGTAGCTAGCTTAAAAAAAGTCTCTCTGTAAATCCCCCCCCCCCCCAGGATCCAGAGTAGCTGGAGGCAGAGGTGTGCTGGCTCTATAATTATGTTTCTATTTGGAAGTCAAGGGTATAATAATAATGGCGCAACTTGCCACCCTGCCTCAAGAGGAAGTTTGGCTAATAATAGCGTCTCCAGTTAACTAATTAGCTCTGGTGAGACTAGAGCGATAAAACTTTAATGGCTGGTAGAACATATTTTGAAATATTCTGAAAGATGATAAAACCAAGCAGTTTTAATCAATCATGTAACCCCCAAAGAGGAAAACGGGACGGTACTTTTCATAAAACTGCTCAAGAAGCTATTCAAAAAGGTTTGTCTTAAAGCTATGCCTCAAACCCATAACTAAGAAACAGGATAGAGTATTAGAAGCCTTAGTGGCGAAATGGTTAAGCTCTTGGTTGCTAACCAAGGTCTGAAAGGCTGGCGGTTCGAACCTACCCAGCAGCTCCTCTGGAGAAAGAGCTGGTGATCTGGTTCCATAAAGATTATAGCCAAGAAAACCCTATGGGGCCGTTCTGCTCTGTCACGGGGGGCTGCTCTGAGTCAGAATCAATTCAACAACACCCAGCAACAAAACAATCACGTACTAGTGAAGTCCTGAGAAGCACAATGGACACTTTCACAATATCTCTTCTCCAACAAAATTCTTTCAGCTAGGTGAGTATAAAGATATTAACTCACATAGAGTAACCCCCAGCAGAAAAAGTGAAGACACACGTTTTTTGTTCTGAGACTACTGAAAATCACTTTCATTTCATTAACATTTTAATTCTTAATCTTTACACTTTTCTATAAAAATTACACAACTAAAAACCTTAATTGGAAAAAAGATTCCAGCAATACAGAGAAAAGCTGAGCCGCAAGTTGCTTCCTGCCACTCTTTATTCTCATTTTCCAGAAAAGGCAAGTCGACTCCAGTGGTGACCCCGTGTGTGTCAGAGGAGGACTATTCTCCACAGGGTTTTCAATCGCTGAGTTTTCCGAAGTAGACCACCAGGGCTTTCTTCCAAGGCGCCTCTGGGTGGACTTGAACCTCCAACCTGACGGTTAGCAACCGAGTGCCTTAATCATTTGTGCTACCCAGGGACTCCATTTTCTAGAAGGGAAGATCAGTTAAACGGGAGATTGTGCAAACCTCCCACCCACCCCAGAACTATACCTTCCTGTGGTCATAACCGCCCTGCTTCTGTATCTCTGGGGACAAAGCAATACGAGAAGGCAATAGGCTAACGGTCGGAAAACTAGTCCATCATTAAAACAGAACCCTGAGACGCCTGGGGCAGTGAGAGGAAAGTCAGGGGACAGCGAGGGCAGGCCAAGTGACCCTACTGCCCAGGGTGACCTCTCCGCCTTTCTGGACAAAGCAGGCTGAACAGCCCACGACTCAACACTTGTCAGCTGACAGCTGCTCACATCTGCACATAAGAAGAAAAGCCTTAGGACAGCATGTGACAGATACCCCGCTGCACCTCATCAGTGCCCTGGGCTCCCAGAATGCTGGCTGTGGAACAGATCGCAGTCCCCGAGAGACGACACTGGCCCTTTGAGTGTGACATGTCTTTGTTGTGAGCCCTGCACGGCATGGTGCTGTGTGTACCTGGCTCTCCCACCAAAGGCCAACATACCCCAGTCACTGTGATGCAAAAATGTCTCCGCAGCTTTCCAAAGCCCCACAGGACAGTACTGCTCTGGACTGAGAATCACTGGTCCCAGAACAAAGACGTCAAGCAGGAAGTCTGTCTCCTAGGCACCTGCACCCCAGGTTATGCCAGTGGCAGACATCACTAGCCCATTGCTGCATTCTTTTGATTAAGCCTACACTCCAACTCCAAGCCACTTCAAGCCGAATGCCCTGGCAGGTAGTATCCGTCATAGGCAGTGCTTGAAATGCAACTTGAGAGTCCGCTCTGATTGTCTCATAGCTTATGAAATGAGCAGTTACTGAACTAGAGGACTCCCACCCGTCTGTCGCTTTGGCCTACTCTGGTGGCTTCGTGTTGCTGTGATGCTGGAAGCTATGCCACCGGGATTCCACGTACCAGCAGGCTCACTGGCGGTACAGCCTCCAGCATCGTAAACAACCCACAAGCCACCACAGAAGGACCAACGGGCAGACAGGTGGTGGTTACGGAAACTAGCACTTCGTGTTGTTTTTAACGCTTCTGATCCTAGCTGTTCATGGCGTTAGTCATGAAAAGAGAAGCCAGGGTGAGAAAGGGGGACAGACGACGCTTCAGACTGGAAGAAACAACTTCTGCTTTCTAGAATTTGCCTTGTGGTCAGCCTTTCCAAGCTATTGTTAAAGTCATGCTTTGTTTTGATCGTATTTATAGATTTTAAACACTTTGGCTCCAATTAAATTGAGTTTCTCCGTCTGTCACAAAGAGTCTAAAAAATTGGAGCGGGTCTTCCATTGCACACCTGGTCCACACACCTATCAAGGTAGGAACCCCCTACAGCACCTGAGTCCTTGAAAACATGGACGCATGGCCTCTCCTTCAACAGTTAATGAGGTGAGCTTAGCAGATCACGGTGTGGTCCATTTCATTTCTAGGTACCATGAATCGTGACAATTTTCCTTCTCATATTAAGTCTCAGGTACCTCCTTGTAATTCTGCACGTTATTCTTGCCTTTGGCTTCGGGCAATACAGATAAGCCTACATTTCAGTTGACAGTCTTCTAAGTACTTGAAGGTTGCCCAATGTCCCATCAGACTACGTCCAGGCAGATCCTCCTGCCACAGATGAGGATGTGCTCCAGTTTGCCAGCGGACCTTTCAAACTGGACTGAGTTTCCATTAACAGAGCATGTTTTCTGGTCTAACTTCTTTTGGACTTGATATCATTGTCTTTTTCTTTCCAAGTAGAAAAAAGTCTGATCTCCTACCAAACCTGTTTCTTCTAAAGGAAGGGTGTACAAAGCTCATTCGGGATGAAGACATTTTTTTGAGCGGGTACTAAATGATCATTTCTGGTGCTTGTGTTATACTTGGTGGAAACCAAGATCAGGTAATTTTTGTGACGTCATCGGTTCACCAGCAAAACCAGGGGAAGTTGGTTATCACAAGTGTTTTAACGCACGTGCACCTTCACCAGTGAAAATACTAATTTTCAAAACATCTGTGGGCACCTACCTGTCCGAATCCACCAGATGTCAGCTAACAATAACCACACAAACCTGGGAGAGAGGAGCTCCTGGGGCGGCAAAAATGGTTAACGTGGTGGGCTGCTAACCAAAAGGCTGGAGGTTTCAGTCTGCTCAGAGGTGCTCGGAAGAAAGGCCTGGTGATCTACTTCTGAAAAATCAGTCATTGAAAACCCTATGGGGTACAGTTCTACTCCGACACACACGAGGTTGCCATGAGTTGGAATCGACTTGGTGGCAACTGTTTTTTGTTTTTTTTTTCACTTAGCAAAGATGGTTGAGACAGGGTCTGCACTGGTGTATGTAGCCCAGTCAGGGGCTACAGGATATTAAGTGTCAATGCCACAAACCTGAGAAACATCGAGTGGCACGGAAAGCAGACCCCAGGGTGTGTGGGAGTGAGTAGATGGCGAGAAGTGAGGGCTATGGGCAGCACTGCCTGCTCTTTGGAGGAGTGTAAGGGAGGGAGGAGCAATGAGGTAAAGCTGATTCTAGCTTCCCTCTCACCCTTCCCACCAAGCCCCCAGTGACAGCTGCAGGATGTCTAGAACTGAACGGAAAGAGCAAGTAGAAAGAGGAGAACTACAAATTCAAGACGAGCAGCAATTTAACTGGGGCTAACTCTTGGATGAGGTGGGGAGGGACACAGACGGAGTACAAGCTGGGGTTTAATGCGAGAGTTTTCCTGAAAGAAAATCAGATAACACAATACTTATATGCCCCGGACGCTGGTTAACGATTTTAAAAAGCCTTACCTTTAGGAAGTGCAGCTAAAAACTTAGCATCGATTCCTCTTTTGCCGTTAGTAAATTGTTCTTTATCTTCGAGTGAAAACTCTTTCTGAAAGCTAAAATTTATTAAATTAATAAAAAAATCTAAAGTCAATTTAAATCAAGATATACAGTAGTAAGTGAAAAATACAGACCGTAAACATTTATCCACGCTAGGGTTAAAACAACAACGAAAACAGGTTGCCACTGAGTCAAATCCAGCTCACGGCAAACCCACGAGTGTCAGAGTCACACCGTGCTCCTTAGGGTTTTCAATGGCTGATGGTTCCGAAGGAAAATGCCAGGCCTTTCTTCTGAGGCACCTCTGGGCGGACTCGAACCTCCAAACTTTCAGTTAGCAGCTGAGCATGTTAACCATTCGCACCACGCAGGGACTCTGGTGCTACTGTTGTTGTTGTTGCTGGGTGCTGTCGAGTCAATTCCAACTCAGAGCAACCCCACGTGACAGAGAAGAACTGTCCCATGGGGTTTTCTTGGCTGTAACCTTTACGGAAGCAGATCACCAGGTCTACGGTTACCCATAGCTAAACATATTCTTGTATATCACAAGTAAAATGTTTTATCTGGGGGAGTTAGTTGGCAATTAAAAAAATTTCTATTTCTGTTCATGTTATGATATTATGGTGCAATTAAAAAATTAAATCAGGATTTAAAAAATTAAATCAGGAGGCCTGGCATAGGGTGGTGAACACATGCAACCAGGAATCCGCCTCTCCGTTCAGACTGACAATCCACTGTCGGCCCACCAATCGCTGTGGCGGCTGAGATTAATCACCTGACCTCTCGGTGACACAATTTCTTCATCAGGAAAACCAGCAGCTTGCCTAGGCGAGCTACATGTTTCCCTCCGGTGTTAAAATTATATTAAAGTCACAAGTACCTTCAACCACCCACTAAATCAGAGGATGGTAAATAGGCCTGAAAGGCTCATGAAAAATGACCTGCAATAAAACAGGAAACAAAAGGCAAGAATAATAAAAGAATTGAACACTTCATATTTACTTGTTCCTTATACTAAGCCTATCCCAAGTACTATCTTAATGATATTGTTAATCATTTACCACACACCACTGAACAGTTTCTACCTCACAGCGTTCTTGTGAAGATAATTAAGATGTTGTTGTTGTTAGGTGCCGTCAAGTCGGTTGCGACTCATAGCAACCCCACATACAACAGTACAAAACGCTGCCCAGTCCTGTGCCATCTTCAAAATTGTTGCTTCGTTTGAGCTTATTGCCGCAGCTACTGTGTCAATCCATTTAGTTGAGGGTCTTCCTCTTTTTCGCTGACGCTCTACTTTACCAAGCATGACGTCCTTCTCCAGGGACTGGTCCCTCCTGATAAAATGTCCAAAGTACATGAGATGTAGTCTCACCATCCTTGCTTCTAAGGAGCATTCTGGCTGTACTTCTTCTGAATCAGATTTGTTTGTTCTTCTGGCAGTCCATGGTATACTCAATATTCTTCACCAACACCGTAATTCAAATGTAGCAATTCTTCTTGGGTCTTCCTTATTCATCGTCCAGCTTTCACACGCATATGAGGTGATTGAAAATTCCATGGCTTGGGTCAGGCGCACCTTAGTCCTCAAAGTGCCATCTTTGCTTTTTAACACTTCAAAGAAGTCTTTTGCAACAGATTTGCCCAATGCAGTAAAACCAAAACCAAACCCGACTCGACCTTATAGGACAGAGTACAACTGCCCCATAGGGTTTCCAAGGAGCAGCTGGTGGATTCAAACTGCTGACCTTTTGTTTAGCAGCCATAGCTCTTAACCACTACACCACCAGGGCTCCCATTACAGTAGATCATTTGATTTCTTGCCTGCTGCTTCCATGGGTGTTGATTGTGGATCCAGGTAAAATGAAATCCTTGACAACTTCAATATTTCCTCCGTTTATCATGATGCTGCCTATTGGTCCAGTTGTGAGGATTTTTGGTTTCTTTATGTTGAGGTGTAATCCATAGGAAGGCTGTAGTCTTTGATCTTCATCAGTAAGTGCTTCAAGTCCTCTTCACTTTCAGCAAGCAAGGCTGTGTCATCTGCATAACACAGGTTGTTTGTGAGTCTTCTTCCAATCCTGATGCCCCATTCTTCCTCATATAGTCCAGCCTCTCTGATTACTTGCTCAGTATACAGACTGAATAAGTATGATGAAATGATACAACCCTGATGCACACCTCTTCTGACTTCAAACCACACAGTATCCCTTTGCTCTGTTTGAATGACTGCCTCTTGATCTATGAACGGGTCCTGCATGAGCACAATTAAGTGTTCTGGAGTTCCCATTCTTTGCAATGTTATCCATAATTTGTATGATCCACACAGTTGAATAGCTTTGTGTAGTCAATAAAACACACGTAAACATCTTTCTGGTATTCTCAGCAATGACATCCCTGGTTTCATGTCCCCTTCTGAATCCACTGTGAACTTCTTGCAGTTCCCTGTCGATGTACTGCTGCAACTGCTTTTGAATGATCTTCAGCAAAATTTTACTGCATGTGATATTAACGATATTGTTAAATAACTTCCGCATTCCGTTGGATTGTCTTTCTTTGGAATAGGCATGGATATGAATCTCTTCCAGTCCGTTAGTCGGGTAGCTGTCTTCCAAATTTCTTGGTATAGACGAGTGAGCACTTCCAGTGTTACATCCATTTGTTGGAACATCTCAACTGGTACTCCGTCAATTCCTGGAGGCTTGTTTTTCGCCAATGTCTTCAGTGCAGCTTGGACCTCTTCCTTCAGTACCGTCAGTTCCTGATCATATGCTACCTCCTGAATAATTAGTACTTATAAACTACTTCATAAACCACTAAGAGTCTTCCCCTTAGTTAGACACTCTGGTGAACTTTTGCAAAGTGCGGTTTACAAGTTATTGTCCCAACACCGCCTAGCTCCATATGAAATCACTTTCTTAAGAGAAGGTAAAAAGATCGTCAGCACCAGTATAAAGTATATAGCCTTTTCACGGTTGGTTGGAAATCAGTGCAAAACCAAACTCTACTAGAAAACTTCTCATGGTTCTAAACATGGCTTACTATAAATGTGGTTCCCTCTACCTGAACTCACCCCTTCCTAGCCTCCTTCCACCCTGCTAAGTCTTGTTCCCAGTCTGGGCCTCAGTTCCATTGCCATTTTCTCAGGTAAGAGGTCTCTGACCTGTGGCCTATCTCAACCAGCACCCTAATCTACAGTGTGTATTTCTGCAATTTTCTTTCAGGCTATCCTGTTCTTTTGCTATTTGTAGCACATACGACAAATGTCATTATACAGGTTTTTTGAATGATTTTTTTTTTAAATTTCTGTCTGTCTGACTGGAGGTTTATGAGGGTGGGGATCATGTCTGTTTGGTTCATTACTGTATTCCCAGTATCTAACACAGTGCCTGGTATCAATAAATATGTACTGAATGAATTCATGAATAAATTCCTACTACAAAATGCTTCCACAGATACTGAAATCCGCCCTATTTTATGTGTTGTATATGTTATACACTATATTTATGATGTTGTTGTAGTCTGCCGGCAATTCGACTCATAGCGACCTGATGTGACGGACGGAGTAGAACAGCCTCATAGTTTTCTAAGCTATAATCTTTACGGAAGCAGATCGCCAGGTCCTTTTCTCGTGGAGCCGCCGGGTAGGTTCCAACCGCCAACCTCTTGGTTAGCAGCCAAGGGTGTAACAGTTGTGCCATCAGGGCCCCTCATCTGTATGATAGGAAGGGGTAAATATCATTACAAAGATTGAGAATAATTAGAAGGGCCTATGGAGCCCTGGTGGCGCAGTGGTTAAGTGCTCAGCTGCTAACCTAAAGGTTGGTGGTTTGAACCCACCAGACACACGGAGGGAGAAAGATGTGGCAGTCTGCTTCCGTAAAGATTACAGGCTAGGAAACCCTATGGGGCAGTTCTACTCTGTCCTAGAGGGTTGCTGTGGGTCAGAACCGATCTGACGGTGTAGGTTTGGTTTGGTTCTAAGGCCAAACATTCAATAACATCAGTTACAAACAAACATTCAATAACATCAATTACAAACGTTCAATAACATCAGTTACAAACGTTCAATAACATCAGTTACAAACGTTCAATAACATCAGTTACAAACATTCGTGCTTTCTTTCTTGCTTTTTTTTTTCATCTTCACAAGATAGTACAGTATTGGGAGTGCCTGTCCCCACAATGTTGCAAATATGCACGTTTGTATAGTATGAAAAACCTACAGCTTTAAGGGAAAATTTTCTTACTGCAGCCCACACGGCTGCCTCTGCATCTGGTTCTTATCTCCTTACTTCTCTCCCCTATTCACACTAACAACTGATCACTTCTCCAAACACGACAGAAAAGGTTATGAGGAAACAATAAGCGCAGAAAAGAAGGACAAGGAGGCTGGCTTAGAAAGCGTGACTCTGGTTCCCAAGTACCACAAAAGCTGTGACTAACGCAAGGTCCCTCCAGTCAACATGAGAAATGAGGCTTTAAAAAAAAATCACGTTTCTTGCCTGGACTTTCTATCCACGGGCGGGGCTCTCCAGCAGTAAAAATACAGGCAAGATGTGCTAGTAAAGAATCCTGGACCATTCATGAATGAGCAACTCCTTCTGATTGTCCAATTGTCAACAGAACACGTTATGAGTATCCAAAAGAGGCCTTCTGCTCCCTTCTTCTTCACATTTCTGAGTAAGAGGTATCAGAACAGCGTGACCGGTGGAGACCGTTGGTAACTCACACTATTCGTAACTCCAAAGCACTGAGCTCCGGGTGCTGGATCCTGCTCTTCCTCCTCATACATCATTTCCTTGGTGACAAGGGGTCAGCAGGTAGCCCCATCTTGTGGGGACAACTTCCACAGCCTTTGCTGTGTTACTACAGCTAACCCCGAAGTTATGAGCCTGTATTCCAGTATGAAACCATCTCTCCATACATAACTAAAGTGAGAATTACTTACTTTAAAGACTGAGTTTTGCCAATTATAATTTTAAAACTTTCTAATCTTAAGAAGAACCTTTTATCTTTTTTTTTTTAATCCAACTATTCTCATCTCCTCTGAAAC